ATTCCTATAATGTAAGCACGATTAGAATAATTTAAAAAATCGATTAAAATAAATAAAAATAAAATTAGTTTTATATATTATCCTTGCAATTCTAGTCTCATTCTAATCATTTGATATATTCACTCGTAGTTATTCCAAGCCACTTCTAGTCAATCATTTAGTCTACTGATTATTCTCATATTCGATACAGGATATGCAGGCCATTAATAAATGCAATTTTTTCTTAAATTCTAAAGCTTAAATTCTAAAGATTATATCTCATTAGCGAGGTATAACATATCAATTGTTATCTTTACAGTCTTATTCTTACTTAACTTACGTGTTTATGTGTCATAAAATCCGTGGATGCGATGCCATATAAAACTTATACCAAACGAATACCAGTTGCTTCCTCGGACAATTAGATGATTCTCAGTGTCTTAGGAAGTATGAAACAGTGTACAGTTTGCAAATAGCATTATCTCAGTTTAATCACAATAACTTTGCGTGCACATAGTATAGATTAATCTAGTTTAGGAGGAATTGATAATGAAGTATTCTTAATAAATTTTAATTTAAAATGAAATAAGATTTGTAGATTTGTAATAATAAATTAAATAACTTGTAAATTGTAACATATTTTGGGAAACGTGCCAGTATCGTGATCATTTAAAATTTATACTCTTTAAATGATTGAAATATAATAACAAAGGAGCAAAGAAAAATATTTCTTATTAATTTTATTAAAAAAGAGAGCTTGAACATAATATCTGAATGCAAATAAATAAAAAGGGACAAAATCGTAAATTTTGTGCAAATTGTATAAAGTGCCTGTCTATTATTTAATTTACTTTTATTAATCTAATCAAATGTGCAAAGTGTCCTCAATGGCAGCTATCGATGTAAGAGTTATATTAGAAAAAATGAATCGTTTTAAATTTCCATGCTTTTCTGATTACATTTTTTTTCAGAAATATATTATGTTTTAATAAATTTTTCCTTTTTTAGTGTATCTAGCATAAATATTATTAATATTTATTATTAACACTTTATTAAAATTAATTATCTCACTGTTCTATAATTATTTCAATGAGCTTGCAAATATAAATAAAAGGAAGAGTAGATTTCAAATATATCTGATCTCATTTTCTGAATATAAGTCGATTAATATCGTATATAAAATTATTAACAATAATGTTTATGTCGATTCGTTTATATCAATTTTCCTTAATAATGGATTAATAATAGAATTTAACAAATACTATGTGTCTAATGTTTTAAAAGATATGTACATTACAACATATTTAAGTTCTTGTTAAAAATAAATATTATGCAGAAAAGGAAAATCTCGGAGATTTAGAATGATATCGATATAAAATTAGAATAAACTTAATTTAATCTTAAGGTCCTAGATATTTATCTAATAAGTTTGTACATTTATCTAGTCCGATCAATGACTTTTCAAGTATTATTTTCGGCTGTGCTTATTTTTTAATATTCCACTAACTACTATTTTAATAATTTTCTTAATACATATTCTAATCAAAATTTCACTTTTCTGTGATTTAAAAGAAAAAACATCAAAAATATTTTTTCTCTTGAATCACCGCGCCTTGAATCGGAAAACTAATCAAATCTAATCTAAATTTTGTTTACATAATTTCACTTCTATTGCACAGTAAATTTAAATTAGTATAGCGACCAAATTTATTTAGTAGTAAGGTAGTATTTAAGTTTGCAAACATGGGTCATAAGAATTAAAATTATTCTCACTAGTCGGCATACCAAATCAATCTAAATAATAATGTAAAATTAAGAGTATTTTTCTTCATTTTATTACATAAGAAAAGAAACTAGTCATTACAAATCAGTGTCATCATTAGTACAAATTAATTTGATTATTAGCGATTAATGTACAAAGAGCAATCATTAATCACCGAATTTAAAGTATTAATTAAATTTCCAAAAATATATAAATCTAATTCTCGTGAAAAAAAATCAGATGACTAATGAAAGATTCTTTTTGTATTTAATAAAACAACCCATCCTAATTTCTTGTCTCGTAAATATAAAAATATTTTTCGGAAGACAAATGACATATTTTAAAAAGAAATTAGTAATATTATTGATGGTCTATTTTTGGCTATACACGTAATATTATTTACGAGTGGCATCTAGTCAGAAAACTCATGGACAACTATAACTCGAAAAGTTTCATGAGGGGGGTCCAAGATTTTGAAAATCGCACACAGACATAATCGTCAAATAATATAACGTAATTATGTAACAATGAATCAACTAAATTTACTTTTAGAATAATAATTTATCAAAATATATCAACATTACCGAATATTTTATAAACAATTAAATATACATAATTTAGTTATGATTATTGTCGAGAAGATAGTATTTGAAAACTGACTTTCTGTCGCATAATTACGTTCGTATTAAAATGTATTAATTTATTATAACTTGTTCACTCACACTTGGATCATCTTCCCTTGGCTTACGTAGTAGAGTACATGATCTCAGTCCATGGGACAGTAAATAGCTCGTAATACGTAAATCTAGTCTGTAAATCCAATTTGTATAATAAGGAAAAAATTAGGTAACTAAAACATAGATATTGTTCATCAAACTTGATAACATATAATAAATAAATAAGTGAATAAACATACGTGGAATGACAATTAAAAGAATTTCACGTATTTAACCGCTTATATATTTATAGCTTGCCATTTCATACACTTAATCGTATCTATAATTAATTACTTCTTATATTTATTATGATTCCATGTATTTAATAATCTTTATTATTCGTCAATTTACACATTTAGTCATGTATTTTTCATTATGCATCATGCAATACGTCAAAAAATATTATTCAGATTTTTTTAATTTATCAATTTTACTTATACATTCTATCATCTTAAGAATCGATTTACATCAAAACTATTAAATAATTGAACTATTTTTCGTAAATATAACAAGAATTGAATTAAATTTTTGCAAAATAAGCATGATGGAAAATAGATGACCAATTTTTATTTTTATTTATTATTTATTACTTATTATTTATTACAATTCTGAAGAACAATATATGTATATATCTCGACAGATATATATCGATGATGAAGAGCTTTCTAGCGTGAAGAAGTTTGTTGTATGAAATATTTATTGCTTTTAGTGTGGCTTAATAATTTCCATAGAACTTTAATACGTCGTATACGATGCATTTAATCCACTTATTTATTCCGCTTATTTATTTAACCTATTTATTGCTTATTTCTCATCTAGATATTTATATAATATTTAATCCGCTTCATAAATTCTCAGTATTTATCCAACTATATTTAATATTTAATATTTATCATTATAATTTATATTAATATTTATCATTATAACATCATATTTGTACGTGTGTTTGCGTTATGTAACTGAATCACAGTGTGAAATGTATTCTATATTATAAATTGCCACAAAATATCGAAAACATACATTTAGCCAAAATACCGAAAATATATACATATGTACTTTGTTAATTCCGAAATTCGTTTCATGATCATTACTATAGCATTGTACCAAATTACAATAAAACGCTGATTTTCTAGGTAATCCAAGATATACAGTAATGTACCTATCATCAAAATTATCTATACAAAATATTTAAAGGAAGAAAAATATAAACGAGACATTTGATAAAACTATATAAAAGATGCAAGCATAACAGCAAGTACTGAATTTTTTATTTATATATTTGACATAATCAGCGTTTTGTTGTACTTACATTCTAAATAAAAATAACTGTAACCACATTTATTATTTTCCTATATATCCTGCTGTAAAACCATTTTAATAAAATCCATAACAGCCGACAAAATCGCATTTTTTTTTTAGAGCAAATAACTTCTTTATTTAAATTTCAAATAGTACATATCGTCGCTTTTTCTAATCTATACTTTTCCCGATCTTTAAAATCAATATCTTTATGTTATAAGATGCGTGCAAGAAATACCTTCCATGTAATTATAATAATTATAATAAAAATAACAATTTCTTTCAAAAATTCGGCTGTCCTCGAGACAGCCGCAGCGTGGACATTTTTGAACGAACGTACATACATTAAATTCAACTTTAGTGACTCCACTACCACGTCAATATCGCACACTGTCATATTCCGAATACGACGCGAGACGCGAGTCAAATCCTGCTACTGGTGCTCGACATAAAGGGTCTGTTCTTAGGGCTGTTCTTTTTGGCTGAACTGGTTGTATTAGTTTACAGTACACAGTTTATCTTTCTTTCTTACACTGGAACAGGCCTAAAGTAATCATTCTGTGCTTAACTACCGATGAGAACCTTGGCGCCATCCATCGGCGGAAAGCGTAACTAGCATAGACCTACGATTGCATGAAATTTACTTGTCGGAAATATTCCCATCACCGACGCTACAGTCACATGGAGTTCACTTGACGAAATTGTCGCTTATTGCGCATAAAACATATCGTGTCCAAATTTTTCATTCGTAATAGGCACACGCGACGAGTCGAGTCGAGTTTTCAATATGCTACATCCTATATGGAATTGGCGAATCATATTTGTTCTTAAATTTGTGGATAAATTGCGATTGGTTAGTTCCAATGTAATAATTGGTCGATTAAATTATCGGCCGATTAAATTATCGTTGATGAAAGTGGTCCTGAGACGCGTGGAATGCGATTGGCAAGCTTTTCTTTAATATCTCTGAGGATCTAGCCAGATAAATTGCATAGCTGCATAATTATATACATAAAAAAAATTATTCAATCAAATTTTCATTATAAGCATATGATGTGTAAAATGCGATT